AACAAAAAAAAAAAAAAAAAAAAAAAAAAAAAAAGAATTAGAGAGAGAGGCCAAGAAATAGAATTAAGGTACGTGAGGTACTTAGGACAGGGCCTGATACATAGTAAGAACTCATTTTTCTCCCCCTTCGCAACGACCCTTTCACATTCTTGAGCATTCACCAAATCCCACCCCACCATGCACCAGCTTTCGCCTCAGAGGCACCGATGGGAACCACCACTCTCTTCAGACACACACACCCTAGGGGCCCCAGGCCCTGACCTTCAGTTGAGGATATGCCTGAGATAAGTGAGGAGTTCCCTCCTTCTCACTTTCCCTCAGCACTACCTTCTTCTGAGTGAAGATTTGTTCTATTCTGTCTTACTGGATGAGGGGAGGAGGAGATGTGCCGGGCAGGAAAGGAAAAGGAAACAAAGACGATAAGATGCTGGAGCCTTTTCAGGTCTGGGCTTGGGCTAGGGCTCATTTTTAGAGCTATTGTTTTCAAGAGGCAAGAAAGGCGACCTCTTTTCCTAGAGAATGAAAAAAGGGACGGGGGCGGGGGGTATTTAGCCTGGTGGTTCTGCCACCTGCCTTGCAAGCGCAAGGTCCTGAGTTCGAACCCCGGTACAAAAAAGAAAGAAAGAGGGGCTGGGAATCATAGGTCACTCAGACAAGCTCCAACTGAACCTGTGAGAGCTTGAGGCTGGCAGCTGAAGAGAAAAAGCAATGTCGATTCTCCAACAACTACAAATGCTTCAGGGACAGACCACACCCCTTGTGGTCTCTGACGAGTCACTGACCAACTCCGGGGCATTACACCACTTTAGCCAGCAGAGGGCTCTCTTTTACTAATCTTCAAACTTTCAAACACCAACAAACAACAACTTCCCTTGCTCATTCTTACTATACCCCGTCTGAAGTCTCTTTCCGAAGCTGAAGAAATAATGAATTACTTGGTCAAAGCATCTGTGAACGTGGAGTCCAATCACTCAGTAAAACTGAAAGACAAAAAGGCTGAGCTATTTGGAGAAAAGGACTCGATACTCAAATATTCACCCCAGCGGTTCTCTTGCTTAGAAGAAGACTCCCACCAATTATAAAGGAAGAGAACCAAACATTGGTCAGACTCTAAAACAGCAGTGATTATTGCGACCACGAAAAGGGAACGCCAGCTCAAACCAGTAGCTGGGAGGGGCAGCTCCTCGCCAGACCTCTGATCCAGTCGGCGGAACCCGGTCTGGCTTTTGCTTGATGTCCACCTTCCAGAAGCTGAAAGGTGTCACCTGTGACCAGTATCCATCCTGACGTTCCAAGCCTTGCGCGTTACATCCTAATGAAGCCAGATCTTCAAGGTAATTTTGTGTCCTTGTAAGCAGCATCGTGGGGAGATCCAGAGGTATATGCTTAAACTTGCCTCCCCGTATTCTAACAGAATACACTCAGGTTTTAACTGGAATTAGACAGAAGGAGAAAATAATGGAACTTAATTGAAGCTGCTGAAGATACTGGTTGTTGTTTTGTTTTGAGACAGGTCTCGCTATGTAGTTCAGGCTGGCCTTGGACTCAATATATACCCCAGGGTGGCTTCAAACCCTCGAAGGCTCTCCCACCTCAGCCCCCCAGAGTGCTGGGATTACTAGCGTGCACTACCACACCCAACTTCAAGTGACTTTCGTGAATAAGCTAATGGGTCCCCCAAGTTCCTGGATCTGAGAATTGCTAATGTGGCTTAAAAAGTCCAGCAGCACTCTGGCCACGGTGTCCATTCCTTCTGCACTCAGTGAGCTGTGTCCCAGCCACAAGCACCTTCAAAGTCCTTCCACGACTCCATGCTCTGCCCAAACCACCCTCCTCCTCCTCCGGTTAATCACTGCTCAGACTCCAGGTCTCAGTTTGAAGGTCATTTCCTTAGAAGGGATTTCCTGACCCCCACTACTAGGTTTGGCTCCTGTTTCAAATTCAAGGAATCCTACAGAGAAGTCTCTGGGATGCACAGGAAGGGCCCACATATAGGGGAATAGATGGATCCTTTCCCCACCCCTAGTGAACACAGTCTCGCCTGGAGAAAGAGTTGCAATTTTAGGTTCCTCTTGCACCCTTGCTTGGACAACTTCATATGAGGCTCAAAGTGCTGGAGCATAAGAAAGCAGTTGTGAGGTCCCTGCAGAACTCCCAGCTAAATTCCATTCTAGTTAGAGCTGTGATTCCTGTACACCTCCACCAGCAGACTGTAGCCCCACGAGGACACCCTCTTCGCAAAGACAGCTGAGCCTGGTCCTCAGCACGCAGGCAGCAGTGAAGACAAATTCAGCACCTCTAAGCCACGTACTTATTAAAAATTAAGATCATAAATGTCCACTGGGCGGCCCACACTAATGTATTCTCATCTTTCCTTGACTCCTGTGAATCTGTGGTTTGTGACCAAAATTTAGGAACCTAACTTCCTTGGAAAATAACCTGATGCACAGCAACAGAAGAGGAAGCGGGGATCATAGGGCTGCAAGCCAGAAGGAACCTATAAGTCATCATGTCTGCCTCCCCACTTCACAGGAAATCAAGGACTGGAATTTTCTCATCTCTGTGCATTAGGACTGGACGACGTGACCTTCCATACCCCAAAATGCTGAGCTTCTGAGATTTGTTCTGGACGGGCCACATGCGTGACAGCTGAAGATTAGTCTGCTAATGAAATATAAAACGATTTTCCCAGCACTTCGTCCTAAGTAACTAATCCCAGGCAGGGGGCTGATCTCCTGGGTAGATTCCCTGAGTGTGCCAACTGCCAAAGATCAAGGAATGCAAGTGCAGGGATAATGTTACCAGTGAGATCCCACGTGGCAAAAACACGGAATAGGCTGTTTTTCACGGTTTGTTAAGATGTCCCGGAGTTAATGGGAATGATATTTATACCTCACTTATGTGCCCTAGAAGCCAAACCATATACACAAACACATATGCGCCCTCCTCATAACTCATCTATGGATTTAATGATGTGAAAAGTTAAACAGAAAAATGGCAGGAAAACACATTATAGAAATGCTTTGTACTCTGCTAACATCCAAGACTTGTGACACTTGAAGAAAAATTCTGACTCCATGCTCGTGAAATTATAATTCATTTGCCAATTTGAAATATCTTTGTGATTTTTTTTCCTTTGTTAAAATCCATTGTAAAAAAAACAGCACAACACAAATATTTAAGGGAAACTCTCTTCATAATCCCACTCTCAGAAACAGAAATAGGAGCCATTAATGTAAATAATGTAAAGGAATGTAAAGGGTAACCTTCCAGGCCAACTGCGTATGTGATATGGGATTTTAATTTTTCACAAAAATGCATTCATACCATAAAGATTACTCTGGGCCTGCTTTTGCATTAATATATATTGGACAACTTTTCCTACTAATACATACAGTAGTTTTTAGATTGTTTTGTTTTTAAAATGCTGAGGATTGCCGGGCATGGTGGCACAGTCCTATAATCCCAGCACTCAGGAGGCTGAGGCAGGAGGATTGCTGGGTGAGACCAGCCTGGGCTACATAGTGAATTCCAGGTCAGTCTCAACTACATAGTGAGACCCTTCAATAACCAAAACAATAAAAACCAAACAATAAAAAATGAATAAAATAAAATGCTAAGATTTAACTCAGGGCCTGTTGCATGCTAAGTATACCATAGTTGGTTCAATCAAATAACCTAACCGAGTGCATAAACCTATATGAAAGAGGATTTTGTTAGATTGCTTAGTTTTGTGTTTTGTTTTGTTTTTTCAGTACTGGTGATAGAACTCAGGACCTTGCCAGGCAGGCACAGTGCCACTGAGCTACATCCCCGGTCCTAGACTAATTTTTTGTTTCTTTCAAATATCTAATAGAGTGCCAAGGATTTAGCTCAGTGTTTCTGCTGCCTGCCTCACAAGCACAAGGACTGGAGTTCAATCCCAAGTGCAAAAAATAAAATCTAACATATAACCTTACAATACTCATTCTGGCAAATCTCTCTTTAGTCATGTATCTGATTCTTTCCCAAAAGCAAATTCATATAACAGGAATTTTGAATTGAAAGCATAAACAGTTTCAACCCACAGTACCTGAAATTCCAATGCAGGTATAGAAGGGACTTAATAAACACCACTTACTTCATGATACAGCCTCTCTCCACTTATTAGACATTTCATGTTTGTTATGTTACAGATGCTGCTTGAAGCCTTTAAAAGAGAATGGAGTTTGAAGGAAAAACAAAAAAAAAAAAAAGATAATGATTTTGGAGTGACTCCGATTATCAGCAATACACAGGCAATAAAAGCAAGAAAGGACAAAGACGTGTTGGAGTTGTACCAACTGAGAGAGGCCGATTCGGGAGATTTCTATGGACGAAGTACAGTGGTGCCACTAAACTTAAAGGTTAGCAGGTCTGGATGATGGGGATTTTACACTGAACCTGAGCGAGGGCCACAGATACCACAGCACAAACGCCTTGCTTCTCTGGTAGCCTGTGAAGCTGCAGGGAAAAAAAAAAGTTGCTCAGCCTTGGCTAGAAAGAGAAGCAAAGGTAAAACCATCAAGAAAGAATAATGGCCACCTTTGTATCCAAGAGACGCTCCTGTGCCTCAGTTTACCTTACATTTATGTGTTCTGTATATATTCTAATCATCTCAAACTACCAGTGAGCACAGTTTCATATTTTAAGAGCCTTTTATGCTTCTTTTTCTCACAACTGTTTTCTTGCCCTTTGCTTATTTTCCTATTGGTATGTTTACTTATTAAAATTGATTTGTAGGGCCAGGGATTGAGCCCCAGTGGTGCCACGCCTGCCTCACAAGCACAAGGTCCTAAGTTCGATCCCGAGTAATGGGGAAAAAAATTGATTTATAAACTCTTCATTTATTGGGAAAATTTACACTTTGATACACGGGTTACAAACATTTTTCCCAGTTTGCCATTGTCTTTGTATATGGGGAGTGTGTGCTATGAATTTATTACCTCTAATAAACCTAAATCCAAGCTCACTTAGAAATCATCAGAAATAACATCAAATTCAACAGATACTTTATTTTAAAAACTTTTTTACTTTGGTAAAGTACGCATAACATAATTTACCATTTTAATTGTCTGTTATAAAATTAATTATATTTATTAAAGGTCAATTACAAAAGCACTTGTTTTCCTTAGCTGGGTGTGGTGGTGCACCCTGTAATTCCAGCACTCAGGAGGCTGAGGCAGGAAGATCACCATGAGTTTGAGGACAGCCTAGGCCATATGGTCAGTTCAAGGGTAACCTGAACTACAAGGGAAATAGCTGGATAACAAAACATAAAAACACAACAATTTTTTAAAAATAAAAACATTTATTTCTTAAAAGGTAATAAAATAATTACAGTAATTAAAGTGTGAAAATATATTTCCAAATTAGCATAACCCTGGTTGTGGTTACTGTGAGAAGACAAAAATAAGAACTAGATTTTTATAGTATTTTATTGTTTACAAATGTATAGTGGCTATTATTTGCTATACACCAGCTAGTAAGCAAAATACTGCACATACATGATTCTACTGAGTATTTTCAGCAGCCCTAACTAAGTACTATTAGCATCCTCATTATATGAACAAAGAAATAGAAACCTAAAAAAGACAAAGCAGTTTGCAAAAAGCAGCAAATTAAGTAAATGAGTCTCAAACCCAAGCAACCTGATTTCCATAACTTGGAATCAAATCACTACATCAGTCTCAAAAATGATGGAACACAAGACATTGTGGTTTGGTTTTTTTTGTTTTGTTTTGTTTTGTTTTGTTTTGTTTTTTTGGTTATTTGTTTTTTTTGAGACAGGGTCTCACTATGTAGTTGAGACTGACCTGGAACTCACTATGTATCCCAGGTCTCAAACTCACATCAATCCTCCTGCCTCAGCCTCCTGAGTGCTGGGATTACAGGAGTGCACCACCACACCCGGTTTGAGATTTTTTTTTTTTAGATAGAACATGGATGAACTTTAAATTTT